GCTTGATTTCCTCGCTGTCAAACGATGATGCTGTCAACTGGCTGAAAGTATCACTCTAAAAGTGATCATAATCTCAAGCTTTTGAAAAATCAAATTCACTGAAAATAATTCAACTAGTTATCTTAGTATATTTCTTGAGCTCCATAACTATTCTCATTAGAAAATAATGTTTAGTCAAAAATAATCTACTGTTACAAAGAAAGAGCAGTTTAAATATATAACAAGGTTATTGTCTTAAAATGATCAAGGCAACAAGTTACAGCTTGTTCCCTATTTGTCACAAGAATTGCAGGGCTAACGCTCTCATGCTTTTTCAATACGGCTTTTCAAATTCAAAGCCTTCTGTTACTGTTCAGCTTTAATTAATTTGTTAACATCATTCTTTGAATAAAGGTGTTTTTAAAGAGTGACTTAGTAGACCAAATATTTTACAGTAATACCTATAATGGGAAATAGAATTGAAGTTGCCTTTGGAAAAAAAGGTAGACTCTTCTCATGTTCTGGGTTTATAGAGAAAAAGGCAATTTAAAAAAAATACTTTAAACACATTACTTGGGACAACAAAGAATAAAGGTGAAGAGTTTAAAACTGAAAGACGTCTCTTGGAAAATTTAGATGTAGATAAAACAATTTAAAAAATGAGCTCAAAGTGTCTTGGATCTGAAAAGGAAGGACACTGGGTCATAGATTCCTCTTCTGCAATGAAGAAACTAATTATGTTGCTTTGGAAAGGCCATTTTTTTGACATATTAAAATCAAAGAGGAATTAATAGCCGTATTCCTTCAATAAAGAGATCCTGGATACATCATGGGCAAAAAATTCTACTGAGATTTTACAAAAGATACATGATATTCAGATGGATGGTTCTTTATATAAACGCTCTAGGAAAACCAAGAGCAATGTAAGGGCAGCATTTCTAAGAGGCCCCAGGCTGGTCCGCACCACCACCTGTGGAGATGAACCTGGCGCAGGGTCAGAGTGGAAAAGGTGCAGCGACAACATCCTCAAATTTTCTTATTAGAATGTCCTTCACCCTGACTTTTTGCCAAGCACTGAGCTGCTGTCGGTTCATGGCTGAACTCATGAATGTCTAAAGAGCCACGTGCTCTAAGGTTGTTTAACATACGATCAGTATGGTTCTGATGCTTAACGGGCAGGCAGCAAGTGTGATGTTCTGCTGTCAGAGCAAACATTCCCTATGGACATTCTCCACTGGATGAAGAGTCATCTCACTTTCCCACAGAATTGGGCTGGAAACGTGAAC